CTGTGTGGCCAGCTGTCATCCCAGGGAGATGTCTTAGGGGGAGCATCAGATCCCCCACCTCCATTTTTTTTGAGTGGCCATGTGTTCTTGGGTCCATTTCTGGATTCTCTCTTCTCTTTCACATATCTGCCATTTTTCCCTATGTCAAGACCTCCTCTTGAATCACTCAGTATAGCTTTAAAGTCTTCTGGAAAGCTAGTCCCCATGCACATACAATTTTGTTTAAGTATGTATTATCTGTCATAGAGATTTATTTTATTTTATTTATTTATTATTTATTTTTCTTAGTTCCTTCAACTCACATGGATATCTTCACATGAAGATGCTTAGTTCTGACTTCATTATACTTGACTCTCTCTCTCTCTCTCTCTCTGTGTGTGTGTGTGTGTGTGTGTGTGTGTGTGTGTGTGTGTGTGTGTGTGTGTGTGTGTCCATGAAGGTCTCTGGGGTCAAACTCAAGTCAAACTCATTTATTCTCCAACCCAACCCAACCCTAGCTTGGACTTACCTTGCTCTCCTTGCCTCAGGACATGTGTCTCAATGAAGCAACAGCTCCTTCAGGTTCTATAATGATTGCTGTGTCTGTCCATCAAACAGTCCCTAAAAGGCCTCAAATAACCCAGTGTAGGGTATGGGTGAGGGACTTCTAGCAGGTGGGAGGCTTCTTTTGAGAAAGTTGGCAGCTGTTGCTGGAGTTTTCTTGTCCTGCCAGGTCTTGCAACCCCTGCATGCCCAAATGAACACATAGACCTCTATATTAATTATAAAAGTGTTGGCTGATGGCCAGGACTTCTTATTGGCTATCTCTGTCTTAATTATTAACCCATAACTACTAATCTACATATTTCTACATGGCCTTATCTTACCAGAGAACACCTGGTGCATCCTATCCTCCCAGTCTTTGCATGGCATCTCCTTGTGGTCTCTCTCTCTCCCTACCTTTCCCAGAATTCTCTTTGTCTCCTAGTCCTGTTTATCTTCCTGCCTCTATTGGTCAAACAGTGTTTTATTCATCAACCAATAAGAGAGACACATATACAAAGAACATCCCCCATCAGGCAGCCTTCTGGATTCTGTTCCTGATAATGATTGCACAGCCTTGTAAATATCCTGAAGAGCACTGAACACTGCAAGGGTAGATTTTATAGGATGTGAATTCTGTGGCAGAACTAAACACAAGCCGCAGTGGCAGACGGGCTCTTGGAGCTTAGACGCTATGGTTCCAGCCTTTCCCGTCAGGGCAGAAGAGGATGCCCAAGCTTTGAGGCTCCTGGAGAAAGCGCTGCTAGGTGCAAGTTCTCCAGCTCTTAGTGTGAGCAGGCTGTCATGTGTGGATACCACAGCTGATCCTTTTGGGAGGCTCTCCTTCCCTCTGGTCCTCAGCACCCTGCTGCTCAAGTGTTCTCAGGAGGCACTGTTTGTCTCCTTGGGGACTGCATGGCTTGGTCAAGCACCACACTTCCCATCTCAGCTGGGGAGCGTTCCGACATTGGCAGTGTCTCCACTTAACTGCCTTATGACCCTAATTGAATGTGTCCTGGCCATGTGCAGAGCACTTAGGCTGCTCTGCTCTTGTCCTCTCCAGACAGAGCCTGCATCTTGCTTTTTAAAGTCTTTGAGGTCAGTGAGGAGCCCCAGGGCCACATGAGATAGAACTCAGACTCCCTGATGCCAACGAAAGATCATTTGATGCAGGCTTGTCATTGCCTAGCGTTTAGCTGACCCACCCTGAGGCTCTGCCTGCCATTCACTTCAGAGGTAGGTTTGTCTCCTGGAGAGAATCTAATTTTACCTCCTGCCTCATCTTCAGTGTGACTGGGAAGATCCTCTTAGTGGTCTCTACAGCTTGGGACTAGTGGCTACTGCAAACACCAGACAAAGGGTACTGTGGGATGAGGAGTCTGGAGGATATTGTGCCTAGAGCAAGTGGCCCTTGCCCTGGAGCTGCCCCAGAAATCTGGCCTCTGGCTGGCCCTGTTTCCCTGTCATTTGGGGAGACACTGGAAATCAGGGTCAAGCAGACCTACTAATGACATGTGATTGCTCTCAAGAAATGGCTTTGGCTGTAGTTTTTGGGAAGGAATCGGCAGATGTCTATTCCAGACAGCTTCACTGTGAGCCTGTTTCCAGTACCTCCTCCATCACGTGTTGGGCAAGTCCTGATTTGGAGCTGTTGAGGATGGACTCTCTCTGTTGCTTCCTTTATACCTCAAGTTCAAAGCCAAGTGGCTTCTCCCAGACAGCTTGATGCTTAGGGGTTGAGTTCAGGGTGAGGCCTGTAACTCCCCAAATCTAACTCCCCAAATGGAAACTTAGGCCCTATGTAACAGCCCTAGACAAGGCTGAGGGCAAGCTCTTCTTGTTGGTCATCCTGGCATGTTTGTTTCGAATGTGATGTGAGAGGGTATGAGTTTGCCAGTCAGGGAGCCCATTCTGTCCTAACCAGTTGTGACTTCATAAGACATCCTGTGTCAGCCTGGCAAGTGGATATAGAACAAATGGGTTGCTGACCCTCTGTGGTTTGGAGATGCCAGGACTTGAGCCTGCAGGCCTCTCTTACTTAGGTCAGGGCAACAAGGGCCTAGTGTCACATTCTAGCTCCAGGCTCAGTCATTAGGGACAGCCAGGGAAGGGCCATCCGGGGCTCAGAAGAGCCTCAAGGACACACTACTGTCACCTGTCAGGCCACATGTCCGGCATCCATGATGCTTCATGAGAGCAAAAGCCTTTCCCTGCATGCTGCTCAGGGCTGAGGTAGGCTGGTCCCTGTGATGGATTTTCTGTTGTGACTGGAGATGAATGAGGAGCCTGTGGGAACTCCTGTCAGAGCAATATGCATGTGACATTGGATGGTGTGTACAGACCAGGTGTGACTAACACTTCTCACTCAGGTGGGTGGAGTCCTAGAATGAGTTATTATTGTTGGTGATGGAAATTTGTGTGGTGTAGAGCCAACTTCTGCCTGTGACTTCTCTTTGGAAACCCTGTGGTTGAGGGACAGTGGTCTCCAGTTCTGTGAAGTGGGTTTCCTCCCTACACCACATCCCCCCACCTTTTTTTTTTTTTATTTTGAGACAGGGCATTTCCTTGTAGTCCTAGCTGCACTAGAGCGCTCTTTGTAGAGCAGACTGGCCTTGAACTCACAGAGATGCTCCTGCCTCTGTTTTCTGAGTGTTGGGATTAAAGACGTGCACCACCATCCCCAGCTAGGACCTTTTTGGGGGATGGTGAGCCATGCTCTGGGGCACCTCCTGCTGCCACAATGGAGCTAGGCCTTGGGGAAACTGAGGTGGACCTGCTTGCTGGGGACTTATTATAGTGTGGGGAAGGCTAGCAGGCCAGGGTGGAGAATGAGGAAATGGGACTTGCATGGAGACATGTTATAGATGAATACAAAGTGCAGTCAGAGAGAGGTTAGTAACCGGTAGTTGATTAGGGGAAAATACTCATGCCAAGGGAACCCGTGACCATGTTTGTACCTAAGCAGGACGGACCCAGAAATGCTTCCCAGTTGGCTCAGGCTAGCGAGATAGAGCTGAGTGTTGGCCTCCCTGCTTCTTAAACCCCTGCTATGTACTGTGACCACACCCAAGCGGGCGTGGTCAGTGATACCTGTGATCAGGGTCACTCCCTACAACATGTCACTGGAAAAGCTGTCTGGAAAAAAAGTCTGTTCTCAGCTCTATGATGCAGTGTGACACTTGGGCCTCGAGTCCATTCTGAATGCACAGGGTGCGAGCATCGGCTTCTCACTGGGGTTCGAACCTTGCAACGTTCAGCTAGCAACCTGCAAGTTCACCTTGCTTTGTGTTTTCTAATCCAGTGCAGTTCTGCCTGAGAATCATGATGTTGTCTGCCAATGGCCTTGTTGCCCGTGGAAAATCAGGTCATTGTGTTTCTTAGTCCTGTGTGAGATTGGCACCCCTTTTCAGGTTAAGAAGATAGGGCTGCTTGCTGGCTTTTGAGGAGTCTGTCTGTGTCCCTGCTTGAAGATCTAACTCGAGTCAGGATACATTAGGAGTCCTTGGAGCCTAGCTGGGCCCTTGACACTTTCTTCTTTGTCGAGAAACAACAAGGGCTGCCTGTGGGCCCAGGTCAAGTAGCAATGATATACATGAGGGTCTGTTGTTTGGTTTCCCACCTGGTTCGGGAACCACCTTGCCTGAAATGAACAGACAGACACTATATTAATTATTAAATTGTTGGCTGATGACCAGGAATTCTTATTTGGAAAGCTCTGTCTTAATTATTAATCCATTTCCATTAATCTATGTATTTCTGAGTGGTCTTATCTTACTGGAGAAGGGTCCGGACCTCTTACCCCTTTGCATGGCATCTGACTCTCCCAGAATTCTCTTCATTTCCTAGACCTGCCTATCTTGTTGCCCTATTGGCCAACGGTGTTTTATTCATCAACTGATAAGAGAAACACACCCAGAAGGAATCCCCCCTTCATCTTTTTTATTTTGTTTGTTTGTTTTGTTTTTTGAGACAGGGTTTCTCTGTGTAGCTTTGGAGCCTATCTTGGCACTCGCTCTGGAGACCATGCTCCCCCCTTCATCTTAATGAACTCTTATGAGAAAATCTATTTCCATCTTATTTACAGGGTATCTCCTCTAACGTTGGATGATAGTTGGATGAGTGAGAGAGTGGTAGCTACCTTGTCAAATGGGATCTGGCCCTCAGAGTTCCCATAGAACACCCCCTTCAGTTTCATTTTGTTTCTCTGACCCGGAGGCCATTTGTTAGTGGCTGTTTGTCCTGCTGCTATTTTTCTCACAGTCTGCATTTATACACCCATGGCCCTTGGTTCCAGCTGGTCCTCAGGCAAAGTCAACATGGTTTCTATTACCCAGCAGCCCAACCTGGTCTGCAAAGTGTGGAAGGTTTGCCACAGACTTTCTGGGGTCAGGTTTTAATACTGTCTGCTTCGGAGAGTGTGACAAGCTGCAGGCTCAGGTTCTCAGAACTGTATCTTACAATGTTCTCATCAAGTCATGTCACAGTTCAAACACCACCTGATTCTTTCCCTCAAAGACACTTCCATGGTGACAGGACTCTTGTTGTCATTGCCTTTTCTGTAAGCTGATGGTGTATGGGGCACATGGCTGTCAGTAAATGTTTGTTTTATCAGATTATACTGACTGACTGTTTGGCCTCTACGTATTGCTAGGTGTGATGGAAATGATTCCCAGAAACATACGATTGCTCTCGGCTGTCATTTCCCAGAATCCTAGTTCTGATATGATTCTGTTTTGCGTTTTGATCATAGAACCCATTAACCTGGAATTCCTATTTCCTTAGAGGCTCAGGCTCCTACAGCTTCTCCCAGGGTTAATGGCTTAGTGTCTTATCCTTAAAGGGACAGAATCATGCCTGCTTAGCCCAGCACTTGTTGACCACACGCCATGTGTATCTGGCATACACAGATGGTGGAGAATGAAGCAGTTCTTACTGTTTGAGGGAAAGGTCTGGGATCCAGTCTAGTATATCTCATTTCAAGGGAAAAATACTGAAATTAAGAAATTGAAAAGAGGTCTCTTGTCAAGAGATTGCCCTAGTAATGAGCAGTAGAGCTGAAGTGGATAGATCCCCTGCATACTCATATGGCTTATCTTGATGGGCCTTTTGCTCCGTGCTGGCCACATCCAAGGCAACTTTGCCAGCTCCTGCTGGAACTTGCTCCTGGCTCATTGTCTCCCCTTGGAGAGCCATTAAGTCTTAGACATAAAGTATCTGTCAGTCAGTTTTACCATGAAAAATGACCAAGTAAGTTTTTTTCTCTCTCTCTCTCTTTAAGATAGGAAGATGTTCAGTTAATTGAGAAAAACAGGTCATGGAGCAGTAGTGTTATATAGTCCTCTTTTTGTGACAAAGCCCTGTGTGCACACATACGTGTGAAGTAGCTATGGGCTTTGGCTAGTTTCCACTGCTTTCTTAGTTTCCCCTGATTTTGTCAATGGCTGTGCCTTTTGTCAAGGATTACAGAAGTGAGAACACATATTTCTGGGCTCCCATAGCTGGGGATTGTCTCTGTCAGTCCACATGCAATGCTGCCACCAGACTCAGGTGGAGGTGAGATGTAGCTACCGATAGAGAAATGGTTTCCATTTCTGGAGCATCTTGGCAGCTTTCTGGGTCAGATAAGTCATGAGGGGTCCAGACTGAAACCGGATATTAGCTTCGTGGGTGCAGGCCCTAGACTTCATTTCATCTTCTCGAATCATCGCTTCAGTGTCTGTGATTATTAGTTTTTTCTGACGTGTGACTTGTAGAAGTACTGATAAGGTACCCTTTCATAAATCCACAGGCATTGCTTTCTTGCCAGCAAGTATCTCTTATGTCATTGGAACTAATATTTTTGGGATCCTTGCACACAAAATGGGAAGGTAAGATTAAACGAAACATTCATTCTATTGTTTGGGTAATAATGTGGTTCTTTGAAGAAACTCAGTGTTTCTGTCTTAGCTATTACAAGTAACTGCTGTGATTTTCATTGAAGATGTGTCTTGGGAAAGCACACCCTAAGTGTTCACTTATTGATGTGCTTTTTCTTTCACTAGGTGGCTTTGTGCTCTTCTGGGAATGATAATTGTTGGAATCAGCATTTTATGCGTGAGTGAAAGACTGCATTGGACAGGCAGTTGGGGGAGGGGAGAGTATATGGGACTGAAACTCTGGTTTTGGGTGAGACTCACCAGGCAACATTTTATAACACTTTGAGTTTGCTAATATTTGTTTTTTTTATTATGTTCTTCATTTTATTTCAGCTTTTAAAAGTTACTTCAAATGTTTCTGGAAAGACTCCAGGGAGTATCTCATTTAATTTTAGGTCAGATGTTTTTTAAAGCTGTTTTATCATGTAGTTTACCAACTTATTTTTTTAATTATCTTTTTAAAAAATTTTTAAATTTTTGTAGGTTTGCTTTTTTTTTTTTGCCTTTAAGGTCTCATTATGTAACCCAGGCTGACTCAAAACTGGCCCTATCTGCTTTGCTTAATTCTTGCAAATGCTAGGTTTATGGGCATGGGCCACTACACATGACAGTTGTCTTAAATACTTTATGGCAGCTACTCTGAACAATAGTGAGATGTTAAGCAGAATAAACATATTTTAGTGGCCAAATATGGCTGTCTTCTCTGTGTCAAAGCTTAGGTGATGAAGCCATCTTTCAGAGGAGCCATGAAATTAAGTTTTCACAGCAGCTAGAATTTATATTTCAGGCTTTGTCATACATTTATTGATTGATTGCCCTGGAGATTGAACTCAGGGTGTCGTGTCATGCATAGTAGGTGGTATTTTACCACAAAACTGCACTCTCAATCTAGACTAGATTTTAAAGATTAGGATGGCAACCCCCTTTCTTCCCCTGCTCCCATTTCTTTCAAAAGGGAACAGGTCCATTGGGCCCAGATAGAAAGTAAGTTTAGGCTTTTTCTCAAGATGATTTATTAGACTCAATATCTTTTAGTGTATTAATTTCCTCTTACAGATTCCTTTTGCCAAAAACATCTATGGACTCATTGCTCCCAACTTTGGAGTTGGTTTTGCAATTGGTAAGTCACACGGGCCTTGTGCCTCAGTTTGGAACTGCATTCTCTCTAGAGGGAGCTCTCTTCTTGAATAGTGAGCAGACTATAGATAGGTACCAAAGCTCAGATTTCCAGAAGCCGAAGTGGAGGCTGCCATGAGATTAGCTCAAGAACAACCCATAGTCTAGGTCCATGAAGATGCTGTTAAAATCAGGTGGTGTGGCAGAAGCCAAGGGTGCCTCACTGTCTGTCACGCCCTAGCAAACGCTCGCGTCCTCATCTGTAGCACACTTGATTTAGTTCAGACCTGAGAGCACACCTTCCGAAATGTGGCTAGGGACAGACTTCCCATGTGCTTTTCTTACGAGGCTTGGTAAAGAAAATGCAGGCTGGTGAGGCTCCTCCCGTGCTGTGCACCGCAGGGATTTTCAGAGGCAAAGAAAATAAAACATTAGGGAAAGTCTGGACTAATGGTATACTTTTCTCACTTATACCATACTGATTATCATGATAAAAGTACTACATGATAAAACACTACTGTTACACCGTAATGTCAGGAATGTAGTCTCTGAGTGGTCCAGCAGAACGAATGAATGGGATATCGCCTGACCCTTTAGAGGAGGTTGGGCGACCCTGGCATCTTATGTCCCCTCATGGACCTTCATGCCATTCCTGCTGTGATTCATTCTTCAGCTCTTTGTTTAATTTCTACCTGTTAGGCTTTGCTCTACTGTTTCTGTCCAGCAGGCTTCACACTTCAGATGATCAGCAAATACTAAACAAATGAAGGCCATTTCTCTCATCCAGCTGCTGCGTGCCAGCCCGCAGCATGTGTTCATAGGCATCCGTTTACTACAATTAGTCACCAAAACCACTTTCAAAGCACCCTACACAGACAGACAGAAGCAGTGCTCAGAGGCTAGGCATAGCTGTGCTCATTCAGCTGGGATTTGCACCCAGAACTCTGAACACATGTGCTCTTTCTGAACCTTGTCCCTTGCTAGTCAAGAGGCCACAGCTTGTCACACTGGTCTCAGTTGGTGTTGGTTTTAGCCAACTGACCAGACAAATTCTTCAGGCTTTAGTTTTCTGAGCAGGAAGAGGTTTTCTCTCACCCTCTTTTGCATTCTAGTACTCGGGCATTTTCCAGCTTGGTAACTCTCATGGTCTAAGGCCTGGTGTTGGAGGTGGCTGGGAAAGAGGTTGACTGATGCTGTGTTAACTGGCGCGGGGAAGAGTGATTGAGAAAATAATGGATTAGCAAGGCGTCAGATAGTAGGCCAGGTTCCAGTGGCCGGTAATATACTACGTCTGTAGGACAGTAATAGGTGAGTTGCCAGAGGACTGGGTACCTTCCGCTTACCCAAAAGATGGCCCATTACAGGAGATTGTGAGGTGAGGTCATACAGCCTACAAAAGGTGGCCTAATAATGTCTCAGAATCTTGAATCCCATTCCTCTCTGAAGTCGTCTGCTTACTAGTCACATGCCAGGTTTGCTTCAGGAGTTTGTCATAGATGAGTAAGTGGCAATGCCAGAGGGAAGCAGCTGGCAAGGAATTGAGTTTAGGACACAGTCCCTGACATCCAGCCTGTCTCTGGTTCATGCCACTTTTCCATTCACTGTGCCTTAACTATCCACAGGGATGGTGGATTCCTCCATGATGCCTATCATGGGCTACCTGGTTGACCTGCGGCACGTGTCTGTTTATGGGAGTGTGTATGCCATTGCGGATGTGGCCTTCTGCATGGGGTATGCTATCGGTAAGAATGCTCACTCTCAAGACAACCTTTACTGTAATGCAGGGCAGATAAAACCTCCTAGGAATACAGAAGTCTTTACATTTTCTAGCCATGAGACATTTGGTTGAAAGTGCTAATTTTCTGTTTCTCCAAAGGTCCCTCTGCTGGTGGTGCCATTGCGAAGGCTATCGGCTTCCCTTGGCTCATGACAATTATCGGGATAGTTGATATTGTTTTTGCCCCACTCTGCTTTTTTCTTCGAAGTCCACCTGCTAAGGAAGAGAAAATGGTAAGGAAGCTGTTTTTGATGATTTTGGTATGGCTATCTGGAGAGTTTCTGCATAGTTCAATTCTAATCATACTTCTGCTTCTTTCCAATAGAAACCTTTAAACAGAGCACAGGCGAGCTCCTCAAGTGAGGGTAACTTCTTTTATTCACGTGATTCTCACAGTTATTTCTTTTAAGCCTCATGTTCATGAATTTGAAGAATGAGATTACTTTTGTATTTAGATTAACTTTGTATAGTTCTTGCCAATCAAATAATTCAATCTAATTGGCTATAGCTCTTGAACATCCTCTTGCTTCCCAGGGTGTGGTACCCGTTGCTTTTTTTCTATCCTCACAGCACTTGGTGATAGGTGGTGTCTTGGTCCTCACTGGGTGTGAGAGTCTGGAGATGTTCTTAGGAGTCTTCGTGAAAGTTGATTATATTTACACCCTGGGGGCACGCATATGAGCACAAAGAACTATGCAACTCTTATCTTCATGACTGGATCACCGTTATGGGCAAGCTGTAGAGAATAAAGTGCTTCCTTTTCGAACCAGTTCAGATTATTGGCTCTAAATCTGCAGTGGGAGATAATTAGGTCTCGTGCCCTTTCTAAGGTGATTTACCTTACCCAACAGAAAGAGCTCATTGCTGCTCTCGTCATCTGTCCTGAAAGTGGTATCAGATGCTGGTATTTATTATCTGAAAGGAGACTGCCTGGACTAAGGATGGAGGAGGAGCCCACAGGAAGTGCTGGTGTTGTGTGCAGGGACAGATCCACGGCTTCTCTGTCATACTCTTTTGGAGTAGATGAGACGAGATTTCTGTAGGTTTCCCCCTCTGATAACTGTGGATCACATCTAGGACTGTGAGTGTGCCAGGCAAAGCACTCTACTATTGTGTTTCATTTCTAAAGGAGACTGCCTGGACTAAGGATGGAGGAGGAGCCCACAGGAAGTGCTGGTGTTGTGTGCAGGGACAGATCCACGGCTTCTCTGTCATACTCTTTTGGAGTAGATGAGACGAGATTTCTGTAGGTTTCCCCCTCTGATAACTGTGGATCACATCTAGGACTGTGAGTGTGCCAGGCAAAGCACTCTACTATTGTGTTTCATTTCTAGCCCCTTTTTTTAACCTTTAAAAAATGTTTTATCTTGAGACAGGGTCTCATTAGTTGTCCAGGTTGTCCTTGAATTTACTCTGTAGGTGACCAGACAGGCCTTGAAGTTAGGATCTTGCTTCAGTTTCAGGAGTAGCTGGCATTACAGCCCTGTGCCCCGAAGCCCAGCACAGAAGGGCTCTCCGACATGAACTGAAAGGTCCTGATACTTTGTCAATTCTTGAACTTCTCTTGATGGTTTCTTCCAAAAGCAAATTTAAAGACAGAACCAAAATTTAGATTGTGTAACCTATATTTGTCTGGGGAATTTTACCCTCACCTGTCTATTTACTAGAGCTTAAAAACATATTGATCTCTAGCCACTGACTCTGTGCCCTGAACTATATAGGATTTGACTAGAGACTTCAGTTTCTCGTGGCTGGGCTCCTAGGAAAGAGACCCTTGGGTGGCAGCATCTCTCCTCATCTGACTTCCTGCTTGCTGTCTGATTGTGTGCATCACTGTGGCACCAGTCTGGTTGACTGATAGAAGACTTTACCACACAGCGCTGGGAAGCTGTCCTTCTGTGGCCACATTATCAATAATTTGATTAAGGCTAATGAAGGTTACTCCCAAACCTTTTTGACCAAAGAAATTAAATTATCAGTAAATGTTTCTGTCACCCAGGAGACAGTTAGGATGTTAGGGCTGGTGAAGGGCTGGCATGGGCCTGGGGGCAGCTGCACTGGCTCCCCACATAGGACTCTGCAATTCTCACTTTTCTCCATTGCACTGGAAAATGATAACACCTCACAGGAGTGTTGTGAGAGGTAAGAGTCTCAACAGTAACTGTCTCCCATGTCCCCCATATACCCTTCCTGCTCTATCGAGAGCACTGTTCTACTCTGCCCACCCAGTAGCACAAAAAACGTCTTTGCTCTTCAAGGGAAGAGTTTCCTTTTGCTACTCAGACTCTGCTGGGTGGTCATCCAGCACCGAGACAGTATACATTAATGGCTGTTGTGTTATCTATCTGTGGCTTCCAGCATGAGCTAGTGGAGGAAATGAAAGAGGTTAGAAGGCTAGCTGGGGAGATGGAGGTGGGAAGTGTTTGTTGCCACAGCCAGTTGCCACAGTATTTTGAAAAAAAAAAAAAGATGGTAGAAAGTCAGTTTCTTCTCTTCTCTTAAGCCAGTGCTTTAGCTCATTTAAAAGATACTGAAGGAAGCGGAGGAGACAGTCCTGCAAGGGAAAGCACCAAGAATGACAGGTTTTCAGAGCCACTTCACTGTAAAATGTCCAAATCCTTAACCAGTGCCCACTGAGACAAATCATCAGCTCTTAAGATGTGCATTTCTCTGCTGTAATCAGTGCCCACAACTGGAGGGATGCCATTAAAGTGCAACGTCATGAGCCACCTAGTGTCAGGGACATGGAGGGCCGGAAGACATTCTTTCCGGAAGTACTTCCTGCGGGTACTCACCCTGCGGCTGGCTGTGTGAGAGGCAGGAGGCTTCGGACTGAAGTCACAGCAGGCTGGGAATTGGTTGTGAGCATCACAGCTTTTCTTCCATTTGTATTTCTGCTTTCAAATAATGTAACTGATAAAGGCAAAGGGGGAAATCCATCCTTATTGCTCAGTCTCTGTGAAAGTGTAAGGCATGTGTATCATCACCGCCATTTGAGGAAAACTGCCCCCGTGTAATAAGACAATGTCACAGGACCCTGACTTCTCAAAACACCCCAGTGACAACAGCTGAGTTCCAAGATGGACTTTGGTTTTCAAGTTTAAGGAATTATCTTTAAAAGGTAGGATGTGACAAGGCAGGAAAGGAAGTGGTCTATGGATAGCAGACAGCTTTAAGTGTATGGCTGCCTAAGGTCCTTCTAGCTTAGACCCCAGTTCGGTGCTGAGGAGATAGTTCAATTGGTAAAACTAGGTGCCACAAGAAGAGCCAAGTTCAGATCCCCAGCACCCATGTGAACGTCAGGCAGGTGTAGTGGCCCACCTATAACCTCAGCAAGGAAGGCTGAGCAGAGGATCCCTGGAGCAAGCTGGCTGGCTAACTAGCCAAATTGGCAAACTCTGGCTTCAAGTGAGAGAGACCTTTCCTCAATATATAAAGTGAAGCACAAAGATAACCTGGTGTCAACCTCTGGCCTTTACAAGTGAATACACACACACACACACACACACACACACACACACACACCCACACACACACACACACCCACACACACACACACACATACACCTAAGCACACATACACATGTGAAAGTTTACACACGTAAAATACACTTAAAAAGGATTTTTGTCCATGGACTAGGCAAAGATGGGGTATCTAGTAGATGAGAATATACATGAGGTGTAAATTATAATTTACTCGTAGACAGTCCCTTTTCTGAGCACTTGCATAGTGTATATAGTGAATTGCTTTTTTTTTTTCTAGTTATGTTAAAAAGAACAAAACTTTTCCACTAGAATGCATGTCTTTTCAAGTCTGACATTGGAGCACCTACCTTCTAAGCGTGTTTACTGATTCACCAGCCCAGTACTGACTTTTTACTATTCTACTTCATTTGCTCTGGTTTTTGTTCTTTGTTTTAAATTATCACCTTGAAGACCCCAGCTTTGCTCTGCGGACAGTGATGGGACCTAGGTATTTAGCAGGGACTTGGATGCATCTGGGCTCTGCTGGGCCTTTGGTGCCGACTCCTCTCTCCAGCTCTACTCCCCAGTGGTGTGTGGAGTGCTAGCCTAAATTCCCTGTCTGCTTTTGGGCCACTGGGCACTTGTCCCTCATGTGTGTGCATCTCTTTTCATGGCACACGATCTGGTATATTTAACCATATATTACTGCCCAGTAAAGCTTTTGGGAGAGGACATGAAGCTAGGTTGTAGAATCCATGAAACAGTATTCATGAAAGAAAGCTGCCTGAAACACGTAGGCTACCGTCTGTGCTGAAGAACTCTGATCACTTCTATCTTCATGGTTGATAGAAATAACCAGCACAACGAGGCATGTGTGTGTGTGGTTGTGTATGTTCCAGTGCCTGTGCTGCATGTAGAGGCCCTGGGGAAAACTTTGGGTGTTGTCCCTCAGGGGCTGTCCACCTTGGTTTTTTGAGTCTCCTGCTGGTCTAGAGCGCACCCAGTATGTGAATCTGGCTGGCTGTTTCATCTCTCTCATGCAGGGATAACAAATGTATACATCACACCTGAGTTTTTCAAATGCAGGTTTTAGGGATTGAACTCAGGTCCTCAGGCTTGCCAGGCTTACCCATTAAGTGATCTCCTTAATCCCGGCACAGCTTTTTAAGACAGGGTCTGACTATGTAGTCCCAGCAAGTCTAGAACTCTGTGTAAGCCAGGATGGCCTCAAACTCACAGAACTCCGTCTGCCTTGCCTCCCGAGTGCTGACTTGAAAGGTGTGTGCTCCCACATCCAGAAACCTCCATAACTTTTTATTGAGTATCCATTCTACGTTACAGTCCAGGAGTTCCAGAGATTACCTATGGAAGTTCAAGGTGTTTGTGAATGAGGCCATGCTGGTCACGCTTTTTGATGTGGCCTTGCTGCCTGTGGGGGGCCAAGTGAAGGTCAGGAAGGTCAAGGCTCATGCCTGGTGCTCCTGGCTTGGGTGCTGCTTTCCAAGTGCCGTCTCCCTTGCCTGCTAAGACGTCTGGTGGTCATGATCATTAGTGTGTTTTTTACCTACTACTCTCCATAATCTGATGTGCTTGTTCAAGCCTATCTTCTGCAAAACCTCCCATCTTTCAGGACTCACCTAAGCTCCCAACTCCTCTGCAGAACTTTTGCTAACTCTTAACCTCAAGGGAATCCCTCAAGGGACAGGTGACCCTGGGGAACCTGTCCATACCTTTGGAGTTAAGTCACTGGTATAGGACCTTCAGGGTAAGTTCATATACACAGTAGGTGCCCTAGAAATCCAGGCCAGCTGATGACTGCTAGTCTTACATAATGTATCGTCACCAAGGTAGTGTTCTGGGGGCTGTTGACAGCACTGTCACTGTGAAGGTTAGGATACCTAGAATTTCATTTTTAACTTGTTCACTCGACCCCCCCCCCAATGAAATATACGTCTGTTGCCTCAACTATTTTGGTATTTTGGTAATCAAATCTTTTAAGTACAACTATCAATTCACTCAGCAGCACCACTGGAAAGGGAGTTGAGTTTGAAGCTGGCAGTTTGAGAAGACAGCCTGACTAGGGTCACGTAAGTCCTTATCTGTGTGTCACACAGCAGATCATTTGAGAATCTCTTGGGAAATGATAAAAGGGTTAAGCACTGAGTGTTCTTATCACATTTGCAGGACAAGCTGGGGATAACGAACAGACACCAGGACAGACTGCCACAGGCAGGACCACATTTTAATCCACTCAGATTTGTTGACCACACGTATGCATGCACGTACGCACGCACAGACACAGACACCCCTTGGGGGGATGGTTCCTATACAGGAGGGAGACTGCTAAGACATACCTGATTCTTGTGGCTTGCACGAGGCCTCACACTGCACTTCTCCAGCTGCCCCAGGATGCTTTAAAAAAGTGGAATTTGTCTTGGGGCTGCCTGGGCTTCTTCCTCGACACCACTATGGCTACACTGTTCGTTTCTGCACCCACCAGCTCTGATCTGTAGACTCAACAAATTTGAATCCAAAATGTCTAAAAATCAATTATCTGTACTAATTTGAATTTTAATTCAAATTAAATCACATTTTAAAATCACCTAGTTACACTACATATTTGCATTGTATTGTGTTGGGTACTGTAAAGACACTGTCCTACATAAAGGACTTGACCATCTATAGATTTTGGTGACTGGGAGGTGAACATCCTTTGGTCAATTTCTTTAAGCCTGTGTGCCCATTTTCTCAGTCCCCACCTAGGCTTGCTGTGAAGCTAAAGCTCCCACTTCTCTCGAAGCCCCGTTCCTGACAGGAGGTCAGCTGTGTTATCAGATTCCTGCTTGGTTCAGCACACTGTCAGCAGGAATGGCTACAAACACTTCTTGTTGAGGGGGGCTTAGAAAAGAATGCATGTTTGTTGGCATTTTCCTTTTGCAGTTACACTTATTTTTGGTTTAATTTTCAGAAACAAAAGAGGGGAGAGGACTCTTATGTGAGCATTTGTGCTAAAAGAGAACAGCTAGGAGAGAGATGGTCTGAACATCACATTTGTGAACAAATCCCTGGAATGTGTGACCTGGGAAACTATCTAAAAGGCCATGGCAAAATGTGGTCTTAACCTACCCCGCAAAACAATTGTGCCGCTGGTTACCATCAGAACAAAAGTCCTAACTAGAAATAATAGAGTGGATTTCAGTTCAGACTTCCCTCTGATTCCAGTAAGAGTTCCCTTCAAACATCTTCATCAAGTTTCCTGCTGTGGCAGTCTGTAAAACGGCAGCTGGACGCAATGCCGTCTCCAGCTCCCGACCCTCAAGACTCAGTTTAACTTTTCTTAGACCTAGTCCACCAACCCTGTTTCACAAAACTGAACTGCTACCTCCTCCAACAGGTGCCATGGAAACATCCCCGAGACCACTTTACTTCTTATTACCTAAAACTTTTCACTAAGTGGAGAATTCAAGGTCTTCGAGGTCAAGACATGGCAATTGCTTTAAAAATATTAACCCTTAACAGCAGTGGGTTAAAACCATTTTATCTTTACAAAACAAGAAGCTAATGTGCTTGCTATTTTACTTTCAGGCTATCCTCATGGACCACAACTGCCCCATTAAAACAAAAATGTACACTCAGAATAATGTCCAGTCATATCCCATCGGTGACGATGAAGAATCTGAAAGTGACTGAAACAAACTGAAGTTGCCA